AAATGAAATGGAGCTGTCTGTGCAAAAGACAGGCATTGCATGATATTTTCAAGTGCTGCTTTGCATCAAAGTATCTCAATAAGAAGTAGTGGGAATGTGAACACATTTGCATGTTCCCCATTCCTGACATAGTGTTGGCATTCTCAAAAAGAATAACTGTAGCTGATGGCAATCTTCATCTGAAGAGATTTGTGCATGTTAGCAATATACCATCTTCTGTCAGCATAAGAAGAGCATATGGGGCCCATTAACTCGCCAAATCTACCACTGTTCTGCAAATTTTTATTAAGCAAGTGCAGTCCTAATAGTCACTTATGTTATAGGATGCGTATCAAATGCTATCAATAAGCGAGGGGATTGTTTTTCCCCCAGTGAGAATGCATTTGAAGTATATAAGAAGGCTTGACAAAAGAATAAAACACTTTAAGTGATCACTATATTAATAGAAATGTATCCTACTGGGAAGCCAATATATTTAAGTATTATATGCACTTTAATGTTTGCCACTAACACATTCTCAGAATGCTGTCTTTTTCAAAGATTCCCCCCCATATTTTCTTTATTTATGGTTTCTCTCAATTCTAGCAATGAACCTGGTTGAGATTAAGCCAAAAGGTACCATGTGTTTATCCACACTTTTTGAAAAGGTGCCATCAGCATTGAGCAGTTCTAATTAGCTTCAAAGGTCTACAACCAAGATAACTAGAAACACAGGCCAGCAGGCTGCTGTGTTTCCCGAGCGAGGCTTCCTGAACCAGGGGACACACGGGAAATTAACAAACATCCAAACCCAAGAGTGTCCTCCTTCTGAAGCACCTTACTGTAATTAGATCAAATAGTGGCCATCAATCTTGAGTTAAATGCCAGGAAGCATGAGCTTTAGTATAGAAATCCCATTATCTAAATAAATCCAGAGAAATGTCAAGAGGGGCAAGTCCACAGTGCCCTCTGAGTATTTAATAATGATTATAATAAAAATGTCTATGAATTTCATCTCCAGAAGGACTCAATGTTTCATTGATGTCTCTTCAGTTACTGTAATATCCCTTTAAAGTAATCAAGAGCAAGTAGTACCAACCCTTGGGTAAAACTGAAGAATAAGAAAGGGAATAGAATAGGCTCTGGAAACTTAAGAAAAAAAGAAAAGAATCTGTCATCAGAACCAGAACAAGAAACTTTGGCTCCTGCTCCGTCGACGCTCTCTGACTTTGGTAGCCTACCATTTTGGAATGGAAGACCTTTCCCACACCTGGCCCACTCATTTGTCAGCTTCTTGTATACAAGCTCTTCATTTAAGATGACACATCTGTCACATTCATGTTACTACTGTTCCAGTCTCTGTGCTATCTAGATATTATGGAGTGAAACAACTAGACTGACGCGCCAGCCCCGAGAGAACTTTATCGTAGCTCTAAGGTAATGAGAGTTATAAAGGAAGTTGAGTATTAATTATAACACTCGTCATTTAAAAAAGAAAAGCTTGGTGGTGTATGTAATTTTACCTCATTTTCTCATTTGCTGCTGTTATTTTAATCGCTTCCCAGCACTAAGCATGTGCATAAAAGATGATTGTTCCCAGTTTAACCTTTTAAATAAAATGTATTCTATTAATTAAGTCATTACAGTTCCCTCTCTTTTCTATTATGTTTATTCATTTATCTTCTGTCCTAAAGATAGACATCTGTGTCAGTGAATATTTTGGAGAAAGACCTCTAATTTTTATGCCTATCACCCATTTGGATTTTCTACACTGTCTTTTGAAGCAGTTTATGTTAGTGTTCTAAAGAATTTCAGATTGTCAATTAAAATAATGATAAGTATTCCTACTAAAAATAATAGTATTCAGCCAAAAACTTAAGAAGTTACTATGTTTAACCTAATATGGCTGAGGAATTTGCAGTACTTAAATTGGCTTAGATTTAATGGGATAACTTGTCTGTTAAACAAAAGAAAAGAAAATGACAAAACAACAAAACCATACCTTTGTATGAATTCCTTTTTCAGAATAACCACTCATCATAAGACCATGTAGTCTGAATACCATATCCCCTTTGCCTTTCTTCCACTGCAGGGTGAACTAGGAGCCAGGTAAACTGGGAAGTGAATCGTGCTGTGGGTGTTGGACTATCCATGAGATAACAATCGAAAGTATCCTGTGCCCTGCCTCAAGCATAGTATGCTCTCAATTCCTTTCCCCTCTGTTGCTTTATACTCCCAGGCAAGTTAAGTCATCAACACCCCATCGCCATCAGATTCACCACGTTTACCACTCTCTCAGTCTCCATTTATCAAAAGTTTTCATTTATTGAGAAATATGTACCTGGCACTGTGCTAAGTTCTTTTGTACATTTTTTTCGTTTAGTTCTCACCACTCCCTGTGTAATGTTTTTATGTCATTTTTCACGTGGGGAAACCGAGGCTAAAAAGAGCTTTTTAACTTGCCTGGTAAAGCTGGGATTCAACCCATGTCTGTCTCATTATTAGCAGTCACGTTATTCAGCCTTTCTGTTTGTTTTCTCGTTAATGATGATGATAATAGCTCATATGTATTAAGCACTTGCTATATGATCTGCTGAGTACTTTGCATAAACTTACACATATAATCCTCACTACAAGCCTATGGGGTAAGCAGTATTATCCTCATTTTCTGTATGATGAGATTGAGGCACAGAAAGTTAAAATAAATTGCATATAACTAGTAAGTTTCCAAGTCAGAATTTTAATTCAAACAGATGATTTCTCTTGTTGATTAACGCTTGTTTAATGTTGGTCACCACAGAAAGATTTCTATTAATAACATATATTCAGATGAAAAGGATAATAGTTTTCTAACATATAGGTGTTTGTCAAGTGTTTTTTTATCTTTAATTCATGCTACTGATGAATTCAAAAAATACAACATCTCTTCTATAACTCATCACAAGTATGGTAAAGTGGTTAAAGTGCAAAGTTTAAGTTCTGGCTGCTCTGCTTACGAGGTGTGCCTCAGTGTGTTTATCTGTAAAGTCAGGATAATAATGATACCCATCCTCCCAGGTTATTGTAAAGATTAAATGAATTCTTAGATATAAAGTGCACAGGACAGAACCTGCGTATTATGGGGGCTCAATAAGTAGTAGCTACTAGTATTATTATTATTATTGTTATTTTTAACATCATCATTGCTTTTCAGTACTTTTCTATTTATACTGTAGATTCCACTGTAAGTTTTTTTAGTCTTGGGAAAGAAAGACAGAACTTGGCCCATAATTGGAGCCTGATAAGTACAGATTGACATCTCCAACTAGAAATATGGAGAAAACTCTAACAAGATTTTTAAGCAGTTGATACTGGAAAAATCACAGATATGTAGTGCTTTTTTCTAGAAAATAAAGAAATAGCATAGGAAAGGAGGGCTGGGTGGGAGTAGGAAGCTCTATGGACAGTAACTGGGTCAATGAAATATGACTGAATGCTGTAGCCAGAGTAAGGAGGGGTGTAGTACTGAGACCAACCTAGAGTTAGGGGATGGAGAAGGTCCTCCTTGTTAGCAAAGTCCTCTCACTTGCTTCAACCTTTGGGCACCAGAGTGCTATAGACTAACAGACAATGGCACATGGTAGGTAATGAACAGCTGTGGTTGAATATTGAAGTGATAATCCATGCAGTGATGCTTAAGGATTGAGAACGTTGCCTCTGTGTTCATGAGGGATGTTGGTTAATAGTTGTCATCTGGTGTCTTTGCCTGATGTTAGTATCAGTTTAATATCAGCCTCATACAATGAGTTGGGAAATGTTCCCTCCTCTGAATTTTCTGAAAGATTTTATGTAGTATTGTTATTATTTCTTCCTCAAATGTTTGGTAGAATTCACCGGTAAAGCTGTATGGATCTAGAGTTTTCTTCGTGGGAAAGTTTCAACTACAAATTCATTTGTTAAAAAATAACTATAGGGCTATTTGGATTATCTATTTCTCCCTATATAAACTTTGGTAATTTGTGTCTTTCGCAAATGTATCCATTTCATCAGAGCTGTGTTAATCTAGGGTTTTTTGTTTTTTTTTTTTTCCCTACTGCTGAAGCAAGGCCCTTCTTCATATTCTAACTGAAGCCCCTGAATTATGAAATTTGTCACTTGGCTGTTGGGAATAGGCACTCTTCCCTGGCCTGTGTGAACTTGGGACACTGTTCCCTTTCCACGTTGGGGTGGTTCTCTCCCAGGTCTTGGGTAGTTTCCTCACACCTGCGGGATGATCAGTATTCAACTAAATACGTGAGTGGACCCTTTGCAGATCTCAGGAAGAATCCTGTATAGCTCTCTCTCTCCGGTTCTCTGCCCTACAAGCTCCATCTGCCGTGGCTTCCCTGGACATGCAGCTCCGTGTCCTCATGCTGGGATATCACTGGGCCCTGCTCATGTTCTCCTGCTTGCTCTGCAGCCTGGAAGCTTTCTCCAGACAGTACGCTGGGGTCATTGTAGGATTCGCCTGGTTTGTTTTCCGTCTCCCAGGAGCCCCCGCTCTTTGTTGCCTGATGTCTGATCTCTTGAATGCCATTGTTTCATGTTTTGTCTACTTTTAAAATTTTTTCAGGAGGAATTGTAAATCTGTTTCCTTTTGCTCGATTTTGACCAGATATAAAAATCCAATACTTGAATATTGAATGTATATATTGCTGTTATGCTCAAAGAGTTTTATTACGTCTGATTTCTAGGTCCTTAAGTTTAGTATCTCCTTTTGCAGACATGGAAACAACAATCCAGTTAAAAGAACTGAAAATACTGAAAATTAAAAGAAAATGAAATTATATTCATAGCAGATCTAATGCATATATATTTCTTTATAGCTGTCTTTAAAATATCTGCTAATAGAAATTAGGTGCCCCAGGTAGGCTGGGTGAAAAATTTTCTCAAATCTTCGCCAGTAAAAGATTTAACTTATTACGAGTCTATATTAATTTATTGTTCAAAAAATGGCTGATTTACAAGCAGGTCTGATCCTTGTCTATTTTATTTCTTCTCAGTGCCAGATGAAAGCAAAGTCCATTCATTGGCTGGACACAAATCGGGTAAGACATTCCTTGTAGCTGACTTTATATTCTCCTTCCTGGAAATCACTGGCTGTGTTTGAGTAGCAGTTGGAACCTGTTTCCATCCCCTAGTCACTGAAAGGCTTGCTAATTAATACATGAGATGTCTCTGACTTCTACAAAGATGAATTATTGCTCGGCTGCGTGAAGAGTGGCATAATGTATGCTGACTCAAAATGTTTGAGAGGAAGGAATAAAGGTTTCCAAAAAAATAATTGTAAAACCGAAAATCTTAAACCTGTATGCCAGCTGAACACTTAGAACAACAAAAAAAGTTATAAAGAAAACCCAAGAAAGTTGGCAAGTCTTTCCCGTGATGAGTTTCGCATTACAGTGGCAGGACAATAAGTTCCAGAATAAGAAAAATGTGGTCATTTCATTCTCCTCAAAAAAGAGTAGTCTTTTTGCCCGTCATCAAAGGGGATTGTGCCCAAGACGACTGTATTGTCTTTCTTTAGACTCATCAGTGAGCTCCCTAGAGGTTCTCTAGCAAGTCCACAGGGACCTCTAAGGCTCTACTGGGTCTTTCTCTATTGTGTGTGAGAGGCCTTCAGGTCTGAAATCCAAGCTCTCCTTCATTGCCAAGTGGCCTGCCTCCTATTCCTTTGCTGTTCCTTCACCATCATTCATTCACATGAGTTGAAAACACTTAAAGCCACTAAGCTAGTAAATGTGCAGGAATCCCTTTCTTCTAGGGGTGTAATATTTAGGGGAAAAATATCCATTGTACTCTTAGAATTGCCATTCCAAACAACAGAAGGGTTATGATGCACTGATGTCCCTCCATTTCTGAAACGAAAGTTAAGTCTTTCCCATTGCCAGGCATCTCCGACGTGGATGTGCCAATTACGTTTCAGCAGTAAGTGGCCTTGAGGCCTCATTACCTCCACCACGTTCCAGGGCAAGAATATGAGTTTTTTACGTTTCTTCTTTCTCCGTATTCTCTAGTGATAACAGCAGGGAAGGGCTGGTTCACAACTCTTAGATTGTCTCTCTTCTGCTTCTCCTAATAAAGGGCCTAGTAGGTGAGATCACTGTGAAGGGAAGGTGTCTGTAGGAGTGACAAATGCCGCCTGCTGCTCGTGCCATCATCCTCGTGCATTAAATTCTCTACTACTGGAAGTATTTTTAGGGGTCTGGAAAGGGAGTTCTCATGACCAAGGAACCCCAAAGATAGCCTATATTGTTTTCGTCTTAAATGCACGGTGCTGCTGGTAGTTAGTTCTCTTAAATGTGTTAACACTTGAAGATTAAAACCTCTTAACGTACTGGGATAGGCTGCAAGATAAAAAGTGGAAGCGTTTTTTAAGAATGTTCATCAATTTGATTTTTGAAAACAAGCAAATAATAAATTTCCTGGCTTTTTCCAGGAAATCAAATCTTATTCCAATCTTAATTCATTTCCAAGCAAATTACTGTTAGCCAGTAACTAAAAAATATCGTCACTCTTTTTAAATGAGAACGTTGTTATCTTACTGTATTGCTGTAATATTTTATATAGTGTGATATACGAATATTAATAAAGTAGTACTCCAAGTACAAAAATTGAAATAATCTTCCAAATTCAAAGAAAAATGTCACAAATGGCATAATTTTAAAGCTGTCAGTCAGTTAATTGTAAGGTTCACGTGGTGGCTTTACTTTAGCTCGTTGATAGAAATAGTGTCAAGGGTCTCTATATCACGTGAACCACTGTTTAAATACATCAGATGTTTTAAAGAAGATTTTGGTTACTAATGTACTGATATTACAAAATTCGCTATTCTTATATTTTACGTATCATATCACAGTGTCATTGAGTTTTTCATTGGCCATCTGAGGAACCAGGGCAAATGCTAAAAACAACCAGAAAGTTGGTAACTTTGGAGCAAAAGTAGCATGCAGTAAAACACAATGAAGGCTAAGCAGTCACCTAAAATAACACACTCTAGAGTTGAGTGAAATAAGAGCTCCTGTAAAACGTTAGCAATAGTTCTGAGAAAATACAAAGCAGCATTAAAGAAAAACATGCTACTGTGATTATAAATTTATACACTCCAAGAATATACTCTCCCCCATTTTTTATATTTATTTCTTTTGGAAAATTAAGCTTGAATTGTAATGGTCCTCAGGAACTCGTCCCTCACATAAAATGCAACTCCCTTATGTGTGCTGCATTTTTGTAGAGGAATTTCTCATTGGGCTTCAGTGGTGGTGGCGGTGGCGGTGGTGGTGATAATGATGGTGGTGCTGGTGGTTGTGGTGATGGTGGTGGTAGTGGTGGTGATGGTGGTGATGATGGTGGTGGTAGTGGTGATGGTAATGGTAGTGATGGTGGTGATGGTGGTGCTGGTGGTTGTGGTGATGGTGGTGGTA